GTTAAAAAAGTGTTGTGTTAGAGTAGAATTGTAGAACAAAAACATAAAGTTATTCAAAATTATAAGTTTCTAAATGATTGTAAAATAAATTTAGAGTACGTTTGATGACCTAATGGCTCTTATACATTATCACATTTATTATGATAAAGTATAATGTATTTTAAATATACGTTATATATGATGTAAATACCGTCAGTAGAATAGTCAAAAAGATCCTATCTTGATGGCGAAGGATTATAAAGTATATACTTTAAAGAAACAGTAAGATATTTTTTAAAGGAATGTTGATTGGGAACGTAGTCTTAATGGAACTATATCAAAAGTTACAGTTGAGTATAGAAAAATAAATTTAAAAACACAAACTAATGATTTCTGTAAATTCAATCATCAAAATTTCATAATATTACTTTAATATACTCCTTTTCTTTTACATAGAGTATTGTCGTGTTCTATGCGACAATATTCTGGTTCAGCTCTATGTTATAAGGTTATATGTTATTAAAGCGGAAACGTTAGACCCCGTCGGTAATCAGAAAGAAAATGTTTCATTTAATTAAAGGAACATTTTTTTAATCTTCGGTAGGAGGGAAAACGCAGACGCAAAATTGAATACTTTGGAATGTGTTTGTCAAAGAACTTAGTTTTGCAAGTTAGAAAAGTATATGGTTCAATTTGGAATATTGTTGCTACTATTTCTTCTTTAACAAAAGACAATTGGATTCCACTAAACCAAAGTTGGGTTTAACATAGTGTGAGTTAAGGGATCGTCCCCGTAATGCTTCTCTTGCTCAAGCCGGAGCATATTTCTTAATAGGAAAATCTCCTATCATTAAATGCTAACCCCATGTTTGCTCGGCGCTATATTTGTGCTTTTTTTTTGGGAAACAACATGCTGTATCAGGTTCTGGACAATGCCGTGACACTTACTTGAGAAACCTTCTATTCTCTTTTCTTTCTATTCCCCTTAATTATTTATCTAACGAATGCATCGTGATTCACATTATTTTTAGTTAACTTTACTATGAACTCTATCATATTAGAGAAGCTTGACAGAGAGAACATGATTTATTTTTGAAACTGTTTCCGCCTAATGTCCACTTAAATTCGTTTGAGTGTTTCAAAAGAGCAATGCTTTTACATGGAAACCATAATTGTGGTAACAACTGATGGATACTTCAATGTCTCGATGTTAAGTTGTATTAATAAAACTATAACAGTCAATATAATACTTGAGTTAATATATATATGTAAGTTCCAAAATTTTGAGGTAGAAGGTTATTTATTGATTCGTTTCGTTTGTATTTGTTAAATTATTGTGTGTAGGGAGGTTTAAGAGTGGTTTAACAGTTTAAAGGGTTAAATTAAAAAACTTGTCAGTATAGCGTGCATCTAAACTTTGGAAATAAAAACCTATAAATTTACTATTAACTAAGTTAAAGTTGTTGGCATTATATATTAGAAAGCGTTACTCCTTATACACATACTGATTTCAAATATACGGAAGAAAATTTATTGGATATATGAGAGTGCATAAGAGTTTATAGTACTTCGGTGATTGTTACAAAGCGGTGCAGTGTTTTGTGTCAATAAGGTATCTGAAATATATGATTCATGACGAACCGAATGGAGTTTATATTTTGAATATTGAAATATTTTTAGCAAAAGTTACACGCAGCTTGACTGTCGGACACGCTTGGCTGAGATGTTGCAGCACGAGGCCGAGTCAGATGAGGATTGCGAAGTCTACTGTAAGTAACCTGTGCATATTTGCTTAGTTCTTTTTTTTAAATTATTTTCTTACACATTAATACATTAAAAAATGTCTAAAGTTTTGAAGCCTGTCAACGAATACAACATCGTGGATAAAATTAAGGAAGCGAATAAGGAGTTGTTTGCTGATTCGGATACGGATAATGGGAATAGCAGTGAGACAAGCAATGCAAATCGTAAAGTAACATTTGCGCCAGATTTAGAAGACTATGAACCGGAAACTCCCACTGATAATAATGCTAGTATAGCAGAAACATTAGCTAATCTTGAAACTGAAAAGGATTTCAACTCTAATCTGGCGAAAGTTGAGAAGTTTCCCGCTATAATAGAGGAAACAAATGCAGAATTGCTAGACTCGGTTCAGCAGACACTAGATGATAATGAAACAAATTTCCCAAAGGAGGATGTTGATTTAGGTGCTGTGGTAATGGCTGATACAATAACAGAATCAACTACCGACATTTCAGCAGAAATAATTGCAGAAAATGAACCAGATATACTTGAAGAAATCTGTGAAGAGATTGTGGTAATGGATATAGAACAAGAATTGAAAGAGGCCTTAAATAATTCACCTATCACACTGCATCGACGCATTATGAAGCAAGCAACTTTTGATTGCGATGAAGAAGACAATAAGAGTCTGACTAACTTACTTTCGTCCGACGGTGAAGCCGAAGTAGGCATTGATACTGATAATGAATTTGATGACAATACTTTTGCCAATGAAATCGATGAAGACGATGATGATGATGATAATTTATCCATTATTGTTGCTTCCTACATACCGGATGATTACGATAAGACGCCACTTGATGATTTAGATGAATGTACGAAATCTAGAGTAAATAAAATACGAAAATTTTCACCTTTTCGTAAAAGATTTTCGATGCGTAACCATGGCAATAATACACAGAAGCACATGACCCCGCCAGAGGTTACTGATTTGAAATTAAATTATAAAATATGCTGTGAATATCGGAATGCTGCACAAGAGAAGCTACCAAAATATACGGGATATCTTTCCGAATATGGGTTGAGTCGCGAGCAACTACAACAGCGGGAGAAACGTTTGGTGCAAAAGCAACGACTCGCAGTGGAACAAACTTTAAAAACCACTGAAGATGAAATGCGTAAAATGCAGGATAATGAACGCGCCTTTACTACTTGGTTAAAAAATAAAATGCGTTTTCCTATAAACAAAACACGGAATATGTTTGATGTGAAAATTAATAGAAATTCAAACAGTAATACGACAATAAGAAATCGGTTTCGTTATTAGTAACAAATGAAAGTCTTATGAAAATTAATTACAATAATAAAATACAATGACGTTTTAAATGAAACATAAAATTGTTGAATTGTTAATAATTGACAAGAAAATAAAATATGTGAAAAAAGTATTAAAACGTACTATTTCTTTCAAATTAAAGTGGATTTAGAAGCACACTGTTTAACTTGGAATACCATAGACGTCCATAAAGATACAAAAAAAAGGGTTTGTAATTTTCATCTTTAGAATTGTTTGGTGTAAACTTAAAAAGAGAACAAAAGAGCAAAAGAAATCAGAGCGAACGGAAAAAAAATATTATAATTTCATTATATATAATAATTTTTAATGTTTTAATAATTATAAAAAGTTTTAAGGTTTTCTAGATATCAGATTTTAAAGTTATTGTTTTCACACAAACAAAAAAAACTGAACGTGCGACCCAGTTGATCGGTTACTTGCAATGGAACGCCATCGGATAACTTTCCATGTACGTGTAATAAAGTTACACATTAACGGTGTTCCATTTCAGCGATTTTTACTGTATTCTGCTCATTTGAAAAGACCCTCATGTACCTTCTTGTAAATGACCGCAAAATCTTCAAGAACTGCATTAGCTTCACACTTTCGTGAATATTGGTAAAGAACCTGAAGAGCTTCATGTTCCTTGGGGTGAGCATTTATGTTTTATTCAATATTAAAATTATTGTTTAACAATGTTAAAGGACAATATCTCAAAAACCAGGGCATGCCAGAGCACAACATAGTTGTTATTTTTTTACCCGCAAGAATATAAAAAGAAAATAATATGGAAGGAATTACAAAGACGCATATATGGGTTCGAATGTGGAAGGGTAAAAGTAGTGAGAGGGGAAAGGATAGAAATGATTTGGGATGGGTGAAATTTAAATTGAAATCAACCAGGATTAGGGAAACCTGGTCACTTCTATGGAATGAGTACAAGAATCAATTGGACTCAAGGTTGTATGTGCGTTGAGGCAGGAAAACATATTGGATATTCATAACTATTCATAACATCATGAATAGTAGAGTTGCAGTTAGGGTACACATTGGAAATTAACGGATTAATGCATCAATTAATCGACAAGTAACGAGATAATTAAGCTAGGGCAGTTCTTGCTGCACGGGGAATATGTTGTTTTTTGTGGGAGATATATAGCGTATTAGAAGAAATTGCCCCAAAATAATGAAATTCAACATTTGTGACCAAATTTTCCACATGATACAAAATGTATATATAAACCAAATACATACCCGTCCCCTTAAATACATACATACATTTTTCTCAAAATACCCATATACATATTTTGATGTGGCTTAATCTATTTAGTTTAAATAAAAGTTATTGTTTTACATTAAAAAGTTATTTTACTCAATATGCTTTACGGTTTTTGACATATAAATTTATGTATGATAACTTAACATTGGCTTTTAAATTAAATACAAGTTAATCCGTTTTTGTTTTTTTTTTGATTTTTACTTAAATAAAAACAAATATAATTTAACTCATTCATGCAATTGTTGTGGAGATTTATGAAAGAAGTACTATTGGCGTAATATCCATAAGATAATATAACTTAAAAGTAAAAAACTATACGTATTAATTAATAAGAGAATAAAAAAGAATTTTTTTTAAGCTGTTGGTTTTGTTAATGACGAGATTTTTTAGATTTATGTCCATGATCTCGACTATCCTCGCGGGAACGTTTGCTACTGCTGCTGTGATGACCTTTATCGCGACTACGATCTTTGTGCGATGAGGAATGATGTTTGTCCTTGCTGTGATGTTTATCTTTTGACGATTTAACTGGGCTGTTATTGGAAAGTGAAAATAATTTATTAATAAATCGAAAATAATTGTTAATGGAATTAATTTAGAAAAAAATAATTGATATTTTTATTGAATTTTAAAATGAGAGAAACTTAAAAGTTTATTGTTTATTGAAATATTTAAATTTTGTTCAATCTGCACAACTCGGCTTTAAAAGCATTAAATTTGCATTTTGATTGCCAATCCGTATTATATTTTATAAAAATGTACGTAACAAACCTATGGGATGTTGAACTCGTGTGTTTGCTATTTTTTGTGTGTGTAGCAGATTTATGCTTTTTGTTCTGTTGCTGGTTCCCTCGATCACTTCGACTAAGCATTTCAAAAAATTTAATAACGAAAGAAAATGGTTTTAGACAAACAGAATTTAAAAGGTAATTTTTTCCCAGCACACCAACTCAATAATTATAATCATTTTGTTATAAATATACAATGCAAAAAATAAGTAACAGAATCTAGATTTTGTATTTACATTGGTCTATTTAGTATTAGACATCTTAAAATCAAGAAGGGAATTTCCAAGAAGGGAATATCTTATTTACCTGTGTTTTGAACTTTTTGAATGTTTTTTGTCATAGCTTTTGCCATTATGTTTATCGTCTCCATTAAATTCTTGATTACGATCCTCCTCAGCTGCTTCTCTCTCCAGATCAGACCAATCTTTACCAGACTCCTCATCAGAACCAAGATCTGTAAATAATTGTGTAGTTAATACCAGGAAAGTAAAATTAAATTTGAATTTTATTTAATAGAATTATTCGCAACATTGACTGTCACTATTTCTTTTATTTATCGTAAGGAAATATATAATTGTAGAATAACAAACAATTCGTCAAACAGTTAATGCCAATATTTAATTTAACGAGCTATAAAATGCTGTCATTGACTATTCAATATAACCAATTGTGATTCAGATTTATTTCGAAAAGCTTTTATAGATATTATCTAATATACAGTAGACGTCTAATATAACGAATACCCAATTTCACGAATATCCAATTTAACGAACTACAAAATTCTGCTCTTGACTATATTTTATATTATAAATTATGCATTCGTTATATAGAATAGTCAATGACAGAATTTCATTTTCGTTAAATTAGATATTCGTTAAATTATACATTCGTTATATAGAATAGTATATCATTTAACAAACGAAATCATTGTCTTAAAGTACATTTAAAATGTTCGATATAAATACTGTGGAAAAGTTATGATTCTATTCAATGGAATACGATAAATAGTGTACATTACAGCAATTTTATGACTACACAAGACCTACAAAAGGAAGCATATGAAAATTTATTTAAAGCAGAACTTAATAATTCAATCTGGCTATCCATCGACGACGCCAGAAATTAATATACTATATCCTTCGCCATTGCGAAGGATGGAGGAAGATACTTCTGTTAAATTAGGTGGTTGTCTGCCAAACAAAAATAAGAAAAGAAGAATAAGGCAGCTGAAATAGTCTTAAAATATTCTGAAAATCACACATATCATATTATAAGATAAACATTATATCTATACTGACGGCTATCAACAAGTGATGTTACTAGGTAGTAAACCTATCTGCTCTCATCTCTCTCCCTTATTACTGAAATAAAGTTATCACATTACTGTGAAAATCTTCTCCATTCATTCCTAAGAGGTGGTTTTAGTAGGTTCAAGTCTCACAATTGATGTTGTTAAATCTAATATATGTTTGCAAAAAAATATTCAAATTTAATTCTATCTTCGATATTCAGCTAGTAAAAAAATAGAAGGGAATAGAAATTTAAATAACGCGAGATCGTGAATATGCCTTATATTTTATTGTTGAATATATTAATTCGATTTAACTAATTGTAAACAGTGCAAAGGAATAAGTCTTAAATTTAAAGTTTACTGTATAACAACTACAAAATTTTTATAAGCATATTGGATCACTCACTAATTGTATCATAAAGCTTACCTTCACTATCGTCGCTTTCATCTTCTGATGCCTCCGAATATTCAGAATCCTCATCACTTTCATCATCGGAACCAAAATCAGACGGTTCATAAACTTCGTCTTCTTCTGATTCAGCAGATTCATTTCCTCCTTCGCTGCCCGATTCTGGATCTAAGAATGTCCAGCCTCCCTCCTCAAAGAAGTTTTCTGGATTATCAGTAATTGTTTTCATAATTTTTGCCCAATTCAAAGATTGTATACCCTCTGAATAACGTATATCGCAAGAACTAAAATAAAATAAAAAATAACTTTATTTTACGAAAAATATGCATAATATATATTATGATAACTTACTTTAACCACTCTTTTACATGATCTAACATACTCATCGGTATTGCATTAACCATAGCAACCCTTTTATGATAATCTTTGAAAACAAAAACCATATCAAAATTACGTAAATGAAATTGAACACGCTCAAAGTGCACTAATTCTACATCATCAAGTGTTATAACAAATGGTGGCCATTCAGTAAGATTAACTAAACTGCCAGAGGTGGGCATTAAATTAACAGTGCTGCGGAATGGTGCACCTGGAAAACCTAATTCACGGAATGGTGTATCGAATTCAACTTGTTGCTTCGTCATGCTTTCAACTTTTTCACAGAAACTCTTGAATGCTGTTTTCAGTTTATGACGCAATTCACGCTCAGCCTGTTCAGCAGCCAAATCATCACGATCATGCATGTGTTGATGTTTACCTAAATCAGTGGTAATTTCACCAACTTCTGTATAAAACTGTACATCCAAATGTTTTTTCTTGCCAAACATGATGGCATGTTTCAAATGAAAATGTAAAAGTATAATCATTTCACTGTCGCAAGGTTGAAAGAAAGCGCTCTTGATGTTATTGTACAAAATATCGACCTTATCACCACGTACGGAAATGTAACGAAAACCATTGGTATGTGCCTCCAAACTGCCAGTCATTCGTTTCGTTACTATGTTTGGACGTATATATAAATCTTTCAATTTTGGATTACCCTTATTTTGAGAAAGTATAAGAGTATCTTGCTTAACTAGATCCTCTTTTTCTCTTTCTTCAGCTTCACGTGTTTTAAAACGTTTTTGTACTTCTTTAATCAGACGGAAAGCATTATTTAGATTTGATGACGATGCAGCTACTTCACCATGCTCTTTCACATTTGAAGCACGATATGTACTAAAAATATAAATGTTAACTATAAACAAAAACTCTAAAGAATTCCATAAGCAAATCAATATTGCAGTCATAGCATATATAAGTCTGTACACAACTAGATTTCATATATCATCATTAACAATCAACAATACTAATTAGGATAAAATGTATACAAAAAATTGTATTAAGAATTAAGAATTGTATGTTATAAGAAATTTGAAACTCCAAGTGGATTAAGCCTTGATTTTTAAATATATTTTCTATTGCAAATATGTGCTTTGATAACTGTAACTCTTGATTCGTTTTAGATAATTTCTTAAAAACTTACACTTCTTTAACAAAAGTTGCTTCTGGTTGTGGATACAAGCCGCCTTCATTTCTTCCCATTGTGGCACCAGGATGGAAAAAGTTTATACGTAAATATGTATATTCACCTTCTACCGATTGTGATATATTTTTAATCATCGAAATGTGAAAGGGTACTGTTATGCCAAAGATCGGCATAATAACAGTTTCATATTTTTTATCAACAAACAGCTTAAGCTCTTTAACTTCCGTTTCACGTGGCATTTGGCTCACTGATTTATATGAGACAGTATTTTTGCGTACCTTTTCTACCTCTTTAGAATCACCTTGTTTAGCTAAACGCTCTCGAGCTTGTTCATTTAGGCGCTGAGCTAATTCTTTCTGATGTTCTTTGCGTTTCTCTTCGGTATTGGTTTCAGTACGCAATTTACTTTCTAATACTGCATTTCTCTTACTACGACCAAGTATTTCCGTACCTTTATCTTCTTTTACTTCCTCCTTATCGTCACCATCATCCTCATCACTATCGTCTTTTATGAATATGCCGATATTTTTGATTTTCTTTTTTGATGGTGTCATAATGCTAGCAGGTGATTGTTCACCAACCAACACTGTGTCGCCAATAAAAAGTGCATAACTTTTACCTTCCTTGTCAGTCGATTCTGAGTTTGTAAGATTAGATATGCCTATATTTACATTAAAGATCATATTTTTCTTAACTTCTGCTTGGCATTTGGGTCCAATTATTATAGAGTTTTCACGAAACTCAATACCCAAAGCAAAGCCAAAAGTTTTCGTAAGATTTTCGAGCAAAGAAGGCTTTTCCTTTTTGACATATTCAATAGCAGCATCATATATTTTATTTAGTTTTATACCTGGTTTAAGCAGTTTTAAAATCTCTTCTTGTATATTTACTAAAAAATTGTAATTGTCTTGCATTTGCTGAGTGGGATTTACTAAAAATGTCCGAGATATATTTGAGCAGTAGGACTTATAACGTGCTCCCAAAGAACAAACAATGACCCCAAAATGTAGAAAATTTTTGTCGCTATGCGCAGAGAATTTCAAACTGTATACACCACCCGACTGTATAATTGGTGGATAACACATTTCTAGTAATGATATATCTACTCCAGATACATATTTCTTATCTGTGAGTGCACTTTCAGCTCCCTCCGAAAGTTTAGAATGTTTTACTTTCTGTAATATAAATATATTATATTTTTAGAAAATATATAATAATAGAAAATAATAGAACTTACCTTGTCAGAATCAATTACAACCATAATTTGATCTTTTAAATACTTTGTAAATAAATCAACTGAAACTAAAGCTGCTTTACGTATGTTATTAATTTCAGGTTCATCTTTTGGGCACATAATATAAGCAATGGCAGCACTAATATCAACATTTTCGAAATTTTCCTTCTTATATACCGACTTCCATGATTCACAAAATTCGCCAGGGAAGCCGTCTTTACTGAACACACCGACTACTTTGCCTTTGTTAGAGGCTTTCATATACCCCAGTAACTTTTCAAAGTTGACCTTGTCTTTGTCATTCTGTAAATATCATAATATGATGAAATTGATTAATAAAAAACAATTAATTTAATACATTTTACTTACTCGATCTCTAACTATTAGTTTGATTTCTGGAATCTCAGTATCTTTGCAATTTTCTATTTGTCTTAAAAACTCAATTTTCTTTTTACTGGTAAGAAAATATATTCCATCTATCGTAAATACCGAGATCGTATCAGTGAACTCATATCCGAGCAACCAGGTTTGTAGTGCTGTTGACTTCGAATAAACTATGACCTCGTCAACGCCAACAACCGTCATAATACAACTCACTTTCTTCAGCGATTCATCGTGTGCAATAGTAGGATTCTAAAAGCAAAAGATAGATAAATAATATTTATATATTTATTAAATCAGATATCAGTTGTGGCTTATTTGTTGGAATTTACGTTGATTCCATGTGTAACAAGTAACCTAACTTTAGATTATTTTTCTCTAATAATGAGTAAAACATATAAAGCTGCGGCGCACTTATTTAAAATTTTTACAAAATATCTCAAATCATCAGTTTTTTGTTGTATTTGGTGGCTTCACAGGATACGCAAAAATACACACACCGACAGCATTTACCAATACAATTAAATAACCAAAAATGTGATAAATTGCAGTCTGCATTCAAGACGCAAATAGCCACTGCTTAGCTGAACCCAAAATCCTTTTTTTTATATCCTTTTAAGTACTTAATTAATGCATATAAATTGACTTGTATAAATATAATAAATATTAGCTTAAATTATTCAAAATTATTATTTTATTAGCTTGATACTAAAACAGTCACACACCTTCCATTCTGAATAAAGTCGTTTTATTCGACGCAAAAATGTGTCTTTATCCAACACAATACCCGACATGTCTTTTCAACTCCTTTAATAATTGATAAATGAAAATTGGCAAATTAAAAATACCGGCTTTTTATTTTGCACAAATTTTTGCATCAATCGAGTCGCTCTTTACACACGCAAGAAATTCCTGTAGGCAATTTGCGCCCGACTAAGCGAAGCGACAATTTTATTAAAGAAACGCGTAAAATATTGCGGCGAATTTAAGCAACAATTGTAAGGTTGTATTTTTTTTATTCTAAAATTTTATCTCTTATTTTAATACAATTCCTTTACATACGTTATAATTGTACACTTCTATTCAAACGATTTCAATTTATATTATAATATTTGTATCACACCAAAATTTATAATGATATTATTGCATATGTATGAATAGTATGATTACTGTTGCGGTATTTTATAAGGACATATGTTAGTATGACTAATGTTTTCATATAGTGATATTATTCACTTAGCTCAAGTTCTCAATTTTTTACATACAAAAATCTTTCTGAAATCTTTTTACATCAATTATCCGTATCCTATTCAATTGTCCTCACTTCTCCCATCATACACTCAAAAACTTCTGAAACATCTCAATGTCAAACCCACGGAGGAAAACATTAAAAAAACAATTAATTTTCTCAAAATAATTAGCGTATACGATCAAATGTAACGATTCTATATAATGTTGTAGTATAAATTATTAGATAATTTATAATATTATTATTATAATTTTCAATCAATGTGTAATATAAATTTAGTAGCTTGAAGCCTTGTTTCTAAGCTTTATAATATGCATACTATTGCTATAGTATGCATATATATTATAAATAAATTAAATAAATAAATGTATGAGCTAATAGCCTCCTCAATTGCTGACCCTTTATGTAAACGACAGCTTTTAATTTTTACGTCCCAACGGCTGAAATTTACGCATTTTGCGTTCTTAGGAGATGATTTAAAGCGTACAATTTGACATTCGATGCTTTCCACCAACTGAAAAAAAATTTTTTTTCCATTTTACATAATTACTATGACTTTCTGTCTTATGTTCAATGGACAAAAAGCCATCCTGCGAAGAAAAACAGGTCAGTCATATATATAGACTAGTGTTTATGCATATACTAATGTGATTAGACCCAATGAAATCTAAATTAATATTATTACGTATAAATTTAATACATTGTTTCAATATAATATATTAATATATTTTACTTTAAAAATTTAAAAAAAAAGTAAATTTATTGTAATTGAATTATATATTTGAAATACAAAAATGAACAATTAGTAGCCGAATAACTTTCTTAATTTTAAATAAAGACTTAAATAAAGATAAATTCCAATAGAATTCTGAAATAAATTTCAAAAAGAAAATTAAATACTGATGATAATAGATAACGAGGTATTGAAAAGTTAACCAAATGTGTGGCGGACTCGATTTTGATCGGTTTGACTATTTTTGAAACTAAACAGAGTCGATAACCGATGGTTAATTTTTTAGGATTGTTTGAGGTGTTAATAACATTGAAATGCGAATTCTGAATATCAACAGTTAAAAAACACTTTTTCCAAACATTTTGGATTTGTAGTAAACTTTGTGTGCTTAAAAATGCACACCTGTAATATATTTAATATGGCATCACTTTTCCTAATCAAATGAAATTACGGCGAATTTGAAAAGGCGCCAGTTTATATTTTATTCAGTTTAATAAACTGAATATACCAATTAATTTGATTACCATTGAGTACCATTCTGTCATTTTTTAACTTTAAAAACAGTTATGTGAGGGACATAGCGATAAAATTGAATATTTTGTCGATTTGCTTTTTGTGTATTTTCTTTTATTATAATTATTCTATTGTCAGGGTTATTTGTTTTTATATACCAATACGAATATATCACCTACTTTTGTGGTTAATATTGTACTGCTTATGAGTATATGTGTGCAGGTGTTAGTTAATCATAAAATCTAATAAATTTTTTAATCCCTTAAGCACATATTACTGCAAAACCCAAATTTTACGTTTTTATTTATTTTTTTTGTATTGTCACTTGCTATATATGTATATACTTGATGGGAATAAGAATATTCTAACACCTGCTATATACTTGATGGGATTTAAGAATATTTTAAAACCAGATATTTTTAGCTAGCGTTTTATTTACTAGCTAAAATAATACGACAAAGAAATATAACAAAATTGGAGAGCACTAAACATAGATAAAATAATTGCATTAGTTGATGAAATATAGCTTTTACATGATTGTAAACATAACAAAAGTAGTCTATTACGAACTAGTCTCAAGTAGTCCCTTCAGCACCTTTGTTTCGACTTTTCCAATAGTATAGCTGCTACTGTCAGCATGGCAATATTTTCTTTTAACAGTATGGTTTGATTATGGAACTTAACTTATTTTCGGGTTTATCTCGATAGGAGTGTAAGGTGTAGTTACATTTGGCACAGAAAATTTATAAAAATATATGAGAAATAATTGCATATTTATTTTCCAGTCTACTGGCTTAGCTAATGCAAACTCAAAAATTTCTAATCCGGCAATTATGACTAAGTTTTGAAAAAAAACAAAGATTATAACTTAACGAAAAAAATTACTTTTAGTTTTTTCTTTTATATAATTGTTCACTAAGCTCTGAAAATAAAATGTAAATGCTTAAAATTATTAATTTTAATTTTACTTATTAAGTAAAAATTGCTGATTAACATAAGTTGAAATATAGATATACTATAAGGTTTAGTAAGCAATGGATTTGTTTTTCTATCCACGCGGTGTAGAAGTAAAGCTTCAAAAGTCAACATATCAATGTGTTTTGCCTTGACAGTTCATTTCTATTAACATTCCCCTAATTGAAGTGAATTAGTAAACAATTTCACCCAATTTACTTAATTTTTATATAATTTACCCTACTCGAAATTCTGGTAAGTACTAACATTCGCTGCCATACCAACCAAATTTACTATTTCTTACTTGAACTCGCAAACGGCCTTAATTTGTAATGAAATATTCTAAAACTATAAAATTCTGCATTATTAAAATATTTTTCTCTGTGTACTCATCAAATTTTCTCAATGTCGTTTGCTTTGCTGGCAACACTATTTTTGACACTTATTCAGGTTCAAAATAATTTAAACGTTCGTTCGTGTCGGAGTCGTTTCGTTGCAGCTGCCTTTATTTTGTTGTATTTTCATTTTGTAATGTTGTAATATTAATAGAATTTTATGCATTTATTAATTAAATTCGCGTTAATATAAACATAAGATATGGCGCCTCATCGGGACCCGATTAGTGTACGTACTTCGCGTCTAAATAATTTAATTGTGGCTAAAGGAGTTGGCGTCACTACAAAAGCCACAAGACGCAGTACTTGCAATGGCGGCGCTGCAGTCAGTAATGCTGTTGCAGAGTTTATGAAGTGAGTATAAACTTCATTTGTTATTAATAAATATTACTTATGAATTATATGCCTATTATTATTTAATTAATAGCCGGGAAACACTTTTAGATGTGTTTTGTTTACTTTACAATGAATGTGATAAGGACACACTTAAAAAACGGGATCGCAATATTGCAGATTTCGTGAATAAATGTATGTATTTAGGAATTGGTTAATAATTATATATAAGAACACATTTTTAAACAGATCGTTCCATTGTTGAAGAAACACAACATTTAAGAGTGCATATAGATGATTTCACTGTTAAAAGTTTAATTGGAAAAGGTTACTTTGGTGATGTTAATGTGGTGGTTGAGCGCCAAACGGGCGATATATACGCTATGAAAAAAATTAAAAAGTCTAATGTTACTACATCACAGGTGAAGGAAGAACGTGATATAATGTCACAACACAGGTCGCAATGGATTACAAATTTACAATACGCCTTTCAGGTAACAAATTTTTAACATATGTATATGTGTGGAATTAGTAAAAAATTCCTTTCGTATATATATTATTTTAACATTTTCACTTTCATAGTTTAACACAAATAATTAAAATCAAATTTTCAAGATAGTGCACGGTAATTTTAATTTTATTCAATATTTTATAATTTAACATTAAATACAAAAATATTTGTTGTGATAATAATAGTAATAGTAATAATAATAATAATTGATAATAATTTTATTATATAGGACAACGATAATCTCTATTTAGTAATGGAATTTTTACCTGGTGGCGATCTTTTGAATCTTATGTCTCGTTTTGGTCCTTTTGATGAGGATTTGACAAGGTTTTATTTAGCTGAATTGATATTGGCTATACACGCCTTGCATACCATGGGTTATGTACACCGTGACATAAAACCTGAAAACATACTTATTGATCGTTTTGGTCATATTAAATTGGCTGATTTTGGTAATGCTGCTGCTTTGGACAGAGATGGTCAAGTTATAAGTTTATCGCCAGTCGGAACACCTGATTATATTGCTCCAGAGTTACTACAAACAATATCTACATATAAATTGACAAAGTCGTTGCATGACGTAAGTATTTTTTTGCTGAAATATATGCAGTTTTTATTAGTTTTTTATAATGTTCTATGATATTGGTTTATATTACACGAAATGTAGTTTAAAATTTGAAGAAAAATATAAGAAAAATCCCATAGTTGTTAATATCATAGCATATGTTACCACATATTTATGACATGGTCCATATCAAATCACAAATAAAAAAACTCAACACAAAATAAGCCGTGTTGATGGGGGCATACTTCTAATAGTTAGCTGGGAATGAGATGAGGAAGAAAATATATCAGTAATTTATCTCATGACAATACTAAGCACTTGCCTGAAAACATATATCCAATACTAAGTCTACTTCACTTATCTGCCCAACAGAAGTTTATTAATAGAAAAGACTGTTTCTTTTCTAAAACACTTATGTAGTATTGTATCTAGTATTATAAAATTGAAAATGGTTAGGTTAGGTTATATCGGCGATGCTTAGGTTATGCTAAGGCGATGTGTTACCGTATAAGAACTTTAAACCTTTGTCAAAACATAAAGTGGTCTTTTGAGCGACACATTTTCCTTAATAGAACGCAGTCAACTTGCATCCCTTTATATCGTTTATTCTTCCCACCTTTTATTTCCTTATTTAGTAAAGAAAGATTTCAAAAACTGTAAAAATAAAATATACAGTTTACAAATAACTTGAAAACCTTCTAACTGCATTTTAGCTATTCAAAGCTAAATTTCAAATCA